TACTTATGTAATTTTCCGAAACAACCCTTTGTGCCTCTTATTCATTCGTTATCGTCGAGAGACAGCAGCTCGTCAATTTGAAACCCTAATCCGGCCGCTCTTCAGTCGTTGGCCCTCTCTCTCTATCTCTCTCTCTATCTCTCTCTCTCTCTTGTCAAAACCACCATTGCTACCTTTTTCTCTTCTCAAGAAAATGGTAGCATCTCAACGAAAGAACATCATTTATGACGACTAAAGACTTACATATAGTAGGTCTCTCTATCGCTGGTTTACAATCATAAACCACCCCATACCTCAATGGAGAAGTACTTTAGGAATGCATAAAGAGGGGACACAGGGGCTCGACACTCCGGTCAAGAGAAATTCCTTAGCATACGGAAATGTCATCTTCTTAGGCTACCATTTTTTTCTTTTACCGCTCAAATTCTAGATGTCATTCAGGAATTGCTCAAAAGATTCCTAATTTTTCCTTTCATAATATTTGTTATTGTGTTCTTTGCTACAAAAAATCTAACCTCCAAAATCATGAATCGATGATATTTTGAAGAGCGAAGCCAAAAAACGCGAATAATGAAAGCATTGATATCAGGTTAGCTTCATCTCCGAAACTCATTCTCAGCATTGTCGAATTAGCCAAATTTTACCTACTAGAGTCGGTCACCTAGTAGGTAAATTTTATATATATATATATATATATATATATATATATATATATATATATATATATATATATATATATATATATAAAATTTACCGATGAAAACATTGTGTATGTATTTGTACCTTTATACATATAAAATTGTTATATATCTAAAAATATACATATAAATACGTATAAAAATCCTATTAATATCTTTATACGTGTAAAAATGTTATATACGTATTTATAGATACAAATACGTATAAATTGCATTATATATACATATTAATAAGTAACATAAATAAAAAGCATACAAATATTTATACACAATTTTAAAATGAAAAATGCATATACCTATATTTATATACCTTTACAAATTTTTTTAAATAGTATTAAGTGTCTTTATTTATTTTTAAAGGTATAAATACAATTTTAAATAAACAAATACGTTTCTTTTACATATAAAATACATTTATAAATTCATGAAATAATAATAGTAATAATAATAATTATAATCATAATAACATGTTAGATATTAAGTATAATCTTTCTAGAATGTTTTCAAGCAAATTTTGTTGTTGCTTCACATGTGCCGCCTCCGCCTCCACCTCCGGTGGCTTCACCTTTGTTGCCTTCGCCTCTGGAATCTTCTGCATGTAAAATTTTCTTTTTCTATTGTTATGTATTTCAAGTTTTTTGCTTGAAAATCGAGTATGTTTCCCCTGTAATTTGAGTATCATAGAATTGTTGCTCTTTTTTTATTTTTATTTTTTCTAAATTCAAAGCATCTTTTGAAGTCGTTCCACCAAACTAGAACCTTACTTTGAGGTTAGTTGTGGTTCAGTTTTGATTTATGATAATGTGTTGATTTCTGAAATATATTGGTTGATTTCTGATTGTGTTTATTTGGTGAAATATATTGTTGAGAATATGTTACTAGTTTCTCATTGTTCTTTTTTATTGAAAATGTGTTCCTTGTTGCTAATATAAGTTGCTGATTTTGTTCATTTGCTAAAATTTGTTGGGGATCTTGTTATTATGTGTTGAATTGTCATTGACATCTGTCGTTGATCTTTGAAATTTGTTATTGTTGCTAGTGAAATCATATGCTTTGCTTTTTTTTTTCCTTCTGAAATATGATAATATTTTGCTGATGAAATCATATGCTTTGATGTTTTCCTTGATGAAATCTGATTATTAGCATGTTATGGATTCCCTAAATGAAAGTACAATGTTATATCTTGAAAATGTGGTGTCTATTAGTAGAGGAGATTTCATACCCACAAGTTTACGGAGCTCATTAACATTAGATTTGTTATGGATGGTGATGGTTCTAAAAGATTTCACAAAGCAACGAAACATGAGCTTTGGGTATAATCAAGAAATGATAATGTTATGTTTGATTTGGATTTATGTTTAATCTGGATTTTATATGGTGTTTGGAAATTTTTTATAATTATTCAAGAAGTTTATTTAGTTATTTTATAAAAGAAATGTTAAATTTAGCAAAAAATAACATAGAATGGTAAAATGGCAATTTTATAATTCAGCACTACAATTCAGAGGTTCCAACCAAACAACATTTGAAAATTCAGATGTTAAAAATTCAGACCCTCTTAGAAATTCAGACCACTTAAAAATTCAACTCTTATAAATTCAAATCCTGCCAAACAACCTTTTACGCCCTCCTCCATTTCTAGTCAATTACTTTTGTTTTTCTCCCTTGAATAAAGCAACGCTCCGACCCAACAACTTCATCCCATTAGCTAAGGTGTGACCGTTCTTTAAAGGTAAACTCCTGCTATAGGGTAAAAATGAACAAACTTGTTGAGTGTGTAAGGTGTGGCCTCCCTTTAAATGAAAAATCTAGCTAGGGGGTAAAAATGAACAAATTTGTTGAGTGTAGAGGCTTGAGTTGCTTACTGGAGTTATCATAAGCATGGTTACGTATTGATAGTCCGCTTAAGCAGGTTGCGTATGGCAATTAGCAAGCACGGGGAAACACGGACAATCGGAAGGGCTGAAACCAATAGTCATTGTTTTACCATTTAGACGTAGACTATGGTTTACTAATAGTTAGCAAAGTAGTAAAATATAATAACAATATTTATATTTCGGTACAAAAAATTATTTTACAGAATTAATAATTATACATTGACAATTACCAGATCAAATTATTTTCAATAATTTTAATTTTTCTTAAATCTTTATAATATTCTTTTATTTAAATAAATATGAGCTTAGAAACTAAAAAACATCAAATAAGATTGTGTTTCTATTTTATAGTTAGTTATTTATATGAATATATAGAAATACGTATATCATGAACATGGGGCCAAATGCTTAGTCAACAAATAAAACCAATCTATTATATATAAAATCAGTATTAAGGAGGTCAAAAATCAGGGGGCCATGGCCCCCTGGCTTAGAGACTTCCCCCCTATTAGCAAGAGTAGGCTATTTATGAGTAAGCAGCCAACATTCCTTAAGCGGGCAACAAATGCTCAAGCAGCATAACATGTTTTCTTTGAGAGCAAATTTTGACTCGCACTAGGACCAATTTTGCCAGCATTGACTTCGGCCCATGATTTTTTTGCCTTTTATTATTAGGTCAACCACTCTATAAATAGTCTCATTTATTTTAATCCTAATGTATTTTACGAAATAGCTTTCTACAACAAGAAGTAATAAATCTGTTTCTCTATCATGTTTGTCATAGATATAACTGGTCATTCATGTGGTCATATAGTTAGAGAATCCAATTTCTAATTTGTATGACGCACATTAGATTCGAGCTTGCCTACATGAATAACATACAATCAAAACAAGACCATTAATGCATATCAAGTACTCGTTAAATTGAATGAGAAAGGCCGGATTAAAAAAGTCTAATGGTTGGAAATCTAAGGTAGCAAAAAAGTCTACTCCTAAAATACACCTTAATTCTATCTATGTCCACGACGAGACTTGAACACTCAACCTTAAGGACAGAGGACAACACGGGATATCGTTGAGATAGAAGCTCTTTGGTAATTTAATTTACAAGAATACAGGTAGAAAAATTACAATTATTTCCACAATACTTTAGAAATCATTAGGGCTAACAACATGTAGAATCAAGATGACAAAAAGACATTATTATAAGCAAATGCAACATATTTTTATTAACTTTCGACTGTTGACAATGAAAAATGTTAGCCTCATTGGTCTAAGGTAGTTCCAACAAAATAAATGTCCTCATTTAGCGGTTGAGACTTGATAGATTGTCCACCTGGTTCAACCTCACACGTAGGCGGTAATCATCGCATGCACCATGTGTCCGCTTTTCAATGCTTTCATGGACTCCTATATTGAACAACTCATTTAATGCCTTCCTAGGGATAAACTCTACTTATGGTGTGAAAACAGGTCTCAAGATATTTTTGAAGCGATTTCAAGGGTGCTATTATTTACCATATGGACGTACAGGCACGGTATGATTTTCAATAGCAAAGTGAAGATATTGTCTACTCTAACTTATGAGGTCAAGACTTTGAGCATTTTATGGCTTAAAAATAAAGCTAAATGGTGTAGGGATTTGATATGGAACTCATGGACCAACACCTTCTATATTGTACAATGTAATTCCTGCTTCTTGAAGTTCAATTTATATAAAGTCTAGCCATTAAAACAGCCCCAATAAGATCTCATTTTATTGGCAAAGAAGTGGGAAATTACATATTCAGTTTTTTATTAATAGAATGAAGGAATCAGTAAGTAACATCAACTCTTTTGTACCAATGATAAAGACTAAAATGGTAATCAAAATGTTTCAAAAACCCAAATATATGATGTAAATTTTTTCCTCATAGTTGAGTTGTTTTGCAAGCAGCCTCCCCTATGACTAACAAATGAAGTGTTTCGACACACTCCCGAAAGTCTATTAAACTAGAAGCAGCATTGAATCCAAGTACTCCTGATCGCACCCTTGTCTTGGGATTATAAATTTGGAACCCTTCCCCATAAGTAGTGAGAACAAATTACACTCGTTGGTCGTTTGCGGTTGTGGTTGGAATTGAAAAGCTCCATCAACTGGAAGTTTACCTGTTCCCAATTTAAAAACCACAGACCAAGAAGCATCTCTCCATACCCGAATCCAAGTATCATCAACATCCATACGATAAGAAATCAAAGCTAGAGAATCTTGGATGGTTGTTATTCGTGTTGTTAACCAATCCCAAGTGGTCCAGGCAATGGAATCATACCAAAAAACATGAGTACTCAAATCGAATGTCAGTATATAGGAAGGAGGTATATGTCTTGTGATTTGATATGATCACGAGTTACTTCCCAATGCAACACTCCATTGAATAAAAAAGCCTCATATAACACAGAAGTAAACTGGTTTAGGGGAAGCAACTTCACAGCAAGTGCCCGTCTTCACTGCAGAAACAAATGAAGTGTCTTTTTCATATGATATCCAAACAATTTTGTAATCATCACTGATTGGGTCAAATCCAAACCCAATACCTCCCAAAGCGAGTTTAGAACTCCGAGGACATTTAGGCACTCTTACTTTGCGTCTGATTGAAGGGTTCCATAGAGTGAAACCATTTTTAGTCTTCAAACAGAAAGTTCCATTACATGAACCAATAGTTCTGAACCTATTGCTACAAGGAAACGGGATTGTTGTTGTTATACCAATATATCCACGTTTGGGACACAAACACAATGGCAATTCGTCTTCTCCGTGTAATGTATAAACGTCTTCTGCTATTTTATGATTGTTAATATTTTCATGCGTGAAGCGGATTTTTTGTGGGGATCGGAAAGTGTGCATGCGCATGAACCCAGGGCTAGAAATACAAGTATATAACGATGTAGAGAGTGATCTAAATCGAGGAGGGATTTGGGTGGTAGTTTTGTAAATATTTGAACAATCAACTCTTCGCATATATATTCTGACATCTGCATTTTTCCAACAAGATAAAAATCAATTGTAATAGGGTGCAATTAAAATTCTTTTCTGTTTGAATAAGTTTAGAATTCTTGTCAATATATATATATATATATATATATATATATATATATATATATATATATATATATATATTATATATATATATATATATATTCATGTTTTTTGTAAATGGATGCACCAGATGTTCATCAACTAAGATTGACGGTGTAACTAATGAACAAGAATAACTCCAACAGAAGTAATTAATATATTTACA